CATGTGTGCATTTGTGTTAGGCCATTTATATATTCAAATAATTCCACTTTTTGGATATTTTTGAATAAAGTTTTTAAATTCTAACCATGTGAAATATAAACATATTTAAATATTTATGATAGAATATCTATTTTTGTATTTCTATTTTGTCTAATAAACACATTATCATAATCCAAACATACCTGCACAGTCGTATTATGTTTAGCCACAGTAACTGAATCCCTTACTTCTCTCAACCTCTGGCCTCCTAGGACTTCATAGTTCATCACTCTAGTTAATGTTTTTCTCCCCCTTTTTTTCCTTCTTTTCATAAAAATGTTTTATTTATGTAGGGGGGGTTGCGCGGGGCACACTTAAACCATCTCACAGCTGAAAATTACACGTGTAATCTGTCCCAGAGGAACTGCACGGAGAAATAGAAAAACAGTGTGTGAAGTGCAAAAAAACAGTGGTAAATCACTCTCTGCCACCTTATCTGGGCCGCTTTATGCTGGGTTCAAGAGCGTTTTATAACTCCACTTAACATGAATGTTGGAGGTGCCAAACGCTTGAGACTCAGGTTACCTTGACATGAATTTTCAGGATTCCAAAGGTGTGTGTATGTTCACACTTGTCAGAGCCTCAATTGTTTGATTCAACATTAAACTAAATGTGATTTATAAGATGCACTGCCCTAACTCAGTACCTGTGTACAGTCTTAACTATGTGCAGTCTTGTCCACTAGTCCACTGTGCTCTCAACCTCACTAAAGATTATTACTTATAATTCCTTATAATTCAAAAGCGATGGAACTAAATTGTCTTGTTTTTTATGGCAGGTATGCATGAACTGCAAAAATCAGAGCAAAAAAAAATAAAGGTGTGCTTTCATTAACACCCCTCAAATAAATATGTGCATGCCATACTATTTACTGTAAAACAAAAAACAAACGTTAAGTTGAAGGATGTTTTGAAAGAGAAAAAAAGCGAATCTCTCACGACTCCCTTTTCTGCTATGGTCACCCTCCTTTTATTCCAACCATCTTTTATATCACATTTGGCACCATCATGTAGTCCATGATAGCCTCTGTGAATAAGCTGTGCAGGTCAAGTACAGCGAGGTGTCTTTTTACACATTTGAGCTGAATTCGAGCCCAACGTCGTGTAGAGGGGACGTTTTATCGGGGCGCTGTGTTTACTCTAAGCACCGTAATACGCAGAGTAATCGTGCAGTGATATTGGTAGCGTGTTCATCAACAGGTTCTGGTTTCAGCCTGAGATCTGACATACAGTAGCAGTCAGAGGCGTCCACAGAGCTGTCCGGTGGCAGGTGTCTAATCTGTTTGCTCCCAAGATTCTTCTGGAGTCTGCCCCTGCAGCAAACCTCCTGCCAATACTGAAATCTGAGGATTGGAGTTACAGCAGGTCCGATTAGTGTGCAGCCCATTTAAGGTGCGTAACCTCTATTTAAACAAAACAAAAGAAGCTGATTATTAGTTGAACTAAAAGTGTTGTTCTTTTATATTTGGACATACTAGACAACGCAATAACACCTCTCCTATATATTGATGTTTTCTGTTAAACCTGCATACACTCCACTCCACATATTATTCCAGTAATAAAGAGATTTATACGAGGCCACACTCAACTTCCCCTTCGTTTCATGTCACCGTTCCCAAAAGTGCAGAAAACAAACAGGAAACCACGGTTTACTCTTGTTATTCATTAGTCTTATATTAGCACTATTTTAAGTCTCTCTCATGGCACCAATACACTGAAGTACACACACGTTAATGGCGTGTCTACTTTTAGAGTAAATATGCAAACATAAAAGCAAAAAAAAAAAAAGGTGCAGTCTATTTTAGATGACAAACGTTTATCTGGTAGTTTTTTTGCCTTTCTCTTACACTAGGCCTCGGATTCATACACAAATCCATATAGGTGTTAATGTATTCATTCGATAACAGGAAACGATGCATTTTATTTTTTTTCAGGTTTCAGGTGTAGGTAATGTGTTATATTTGATGTTTTAAATGTTTTATATAGTTTATCAAGTTACAAGGACTAACCAGTTGCGGCCCTCAGACTCGATGTGAAGCTATGGCCATTTTTTCCAGCTTTGAAAAAACAAACAGTTTAATATAAATAATAACTTTAATGACAATAAAAATAATAAGCGTCCCCCCCCCCCTAACAAAAAGCCGGTATCTGCGTCTTTAAAACTCAAAGACAACATCGTGAAAGAGAAGGATACTGACGTTGTCCTCTTTTTTTTTTTTTTCCTCCTCTGCTTCTTCTCCTGTCGGATTATTTTCCCCCCATTTTCACACGTGGGAACGGTTTCACCCCTACTTAGTATTCTCATATTGTAGCAATCCCAACAATGAACCGACACGCCATTCAAGCAGGAGGGGAAGCCAGGGACCGAGTTGTATAAAGTTGCAGAGCATCTCTCCTGTAGGCTACACAGCACGTCTCTGATGAAGAGCTGCACGTTCTCTCGCTCCGCTTCCTGCAGAAATCTGGGCTGTAATTGACTGTCTGTTATCACGAGCTGGAATAGAACAAGTAGGCTAATAAAGCGTTAAATATATACTTTTTAATTAGTGAGAGGGTTATTTTTTTCCTCAAACGCAGCTTAATAGTGAAGAGAGCTGAAATACGATGACAAAAAGAGTGGCTCTCCCTCGATATATAAAAATCGAACCCCTTTATTTGTTTTATAATAATAGGCTAGTAGGCTTATAATAATAATAATAACGAAGAATAAATCATAATAAGTATACTATAGTGCAAATGGATGAATGCAAAATATCTTAATATCGAATGATATTTTGTATTTTTTTCTCCCACAAAATTATAAATATCTTTGAGTAATTAAAAAAAATTACCCCCCCACCCCCATACACACACACCCACTTCGAATAGCCCATTTCAAGTTGTTTCAATAGTGAGGAAGAAGTCAGACATGTTTAATCACGCCGGCTTCCTGTTTTGATTGAGCATGGCGGTTATGATCACCTTCCCAACTTTTCCCGTATAATTCTAAATCTAGGAAGGTAATATCATAACATTAAAGTATCAACCAGCTCTGCGTTTGGCTTGCAACATTGTTACCCCACATCCCTCCCTTATACACAAACACACACATACACGCACGCACGCACACGAGCCTGAAGAACCTACTTGCCATATAAACGTCACAGTATTTACCCATACTCACACAGACGATTTACAGTGTAGAAATAGTCCGTATATCGTCCCTGTGAAACATTCCTTCTTCAATCAATTCGAAGAAAAAACAACGCATTTTTCTAATAAAACTCTAATACTCTCTGAGGGGACATCGCATCGAGCACTCCAACCCCCCGGGGACCAGCAAAGAAAAAACATAATTATGCTATTTAGCCGGCTGATGTGTCGCAATCACTGCTCCAGCACACTCTGTCAGATTAAAATAGAGGGCCCGAATAGAGGACATTAAGGCTGAGGGAATTATAGAAACCTCAGGGGAGATCTCAATCTGGAGAAGGGGAAAGTAAACTATGGAGATTAATTGCAGCCATAAACAAGAGCATGCTGTCCCACTTCAGTGGAGGTCAACAATAACAACATTATTAATAATAATAATCATCGTAATAATAGAAGTATTAATAATAATCATTACAGTTAAAGCAAACGTTATAATTCACTACCATTAAAAAAAATGCACTGCTAATCCCACTGCCGAAACGAATAATAATTAAGATTTTATTTAATAAAATATGTCATTAAATAAAAAAATAAAAATAAAATCAGGCCTGTGCTTAAAGGCTCAGTGGCCTTTGGCTGTTCAGATGAGACTAAAATGTCTTCAAATAAATACAATATTTTTCTATATATTTCCCCTTTTTTAAATGCAATATCCTTCCAAGCTAAAACGTATAAAACAATAAATGAACAAATTAATTTGAAAAAAATTATCAAATAATAATGAAACAAAAAAACACAGGTATGTTTTTTTTTTGTATGCCTAAGGGTTTTTTTTTCTCTGAATGACGGTCCTGACTCTAGTTCGTACCTTTTTTTTTATCTACTTGTAAAAGTTGTTATAATCCTCATAATAACTGTGATCATTGTGTGTGCCCCATTGGCTCCACTTCTCTTTAACTAGGCCATTTGATCAGGGATGGGTTTCCATGACGGATTAACAAAGAGTCCCCCCCCTGAAATTAGGAGCAAGTGTGACACCTACCTGCAGAAGTTGGAAGAGTAAGAGGACAGAGAGAGGCTGCATGGCTACACCGACTACACACTGCACTGATATCTCTCTGACTATCTCTGCTGTGTGAACGGAGAGGGGGGGGGTGCTTTCCAAACACCACTGTTCCACATCTAACGCGCCATTAAAGAGACTCTACATTAATAGTATATAATAGGGCAGTATGTTCAAAATGCATGGTCGCGTCCCTTTTAACAGCTTTTCCACGCCTTTGGAAAATAGTAATGAGTTCTAAATTTGGCATAAAATCGAGCTCATTACCAGAGTTCACCACCTGATTGCTCTGCATAAAACAAGAAAGGTAATTGGGTTAAACGACTGCGACTCAGTGTTGTTATTATATCAGTATCCACTTCTGCAAACCTGCTCACGTTAAAGTAAAAAAAAAAAAAAAGAGGAAGGCCTCTGTTGAATAAAGGGAAACAAATAAACCCATGTTAAACCAATGTATAAATAATTTGACCAATGTATACAATGTATACAATTAAAACCTATGAATATTTGCACCAACAAAAACTAAAACATTGTATTCTTTCGATATGAAACTATCCCCCTGCTGGATGTAGGCCTGTTCTTTTTTTTTCCCAGAGATCTCTCTTCACTCTTATTTTTAGAAGATGATTCCCACTGAAGCATCTGTCACGGTGAAAAGTTAAATTCATATTTCGTATGGATGAATTGGCCTTGGAGCCAATGAGACACATCATGACAGGCAATGCCAACATGCTCCCCCAAAAATAATCTTTGCACGAGTGTGTACATTTTTTTCCATAATTTACTTCAAAGATAGTGTGTTGTCCATTTTAAATACAAAAATGCTACATTAAATATACATGTTAGTCTTTCATACAAATAGACTCAGGCGGCTGCAGCGATTAAGACCATTCTCGTTACATTTTAGGATTAACCATTCAGAAATTAAAAATCTCAAGATAAGCATTTACTCAGAAAATAATGTTCTCAGAATTTTGCTTCATCATTGTTCATATGTTTCCTTTTTTTTTTTTAATGCAACCACAAAAAAAATAAATAAAAGTCCGCGGTGAGTTGAAAATAGTCAGGTATTAAATGTTTGACATACCTTTCTTTAGTTCATAAGGGGAGTCTTTACAAAGATCTACCTGCGTTTGGCCTCTGACTTTCTGGCTCTCTCTTACCAAAGCCTCTGCTCTATTTAACACAGTCTGGTTTAATCCATTGAAATGTGCCGTGGAGCCCGTGGTCACCGAGCCGTGGTTACTGTGAAGATGTCCAAAAGTGCCCCCATAGTTCGTGTAGCCGGGGTAGAAAGGGGAGGTGTAGTACAGGGGCCGGGAGAGGACGGTGCTGTTGGGGAGCGGGCACTGAGGGGAGGACCGTGAAGGCGATGCGTTGTTGCCCAGTACTGCGCTCTGACCCAAACCGGGAAGAGCCTGTGGCGCGTCTCCGCTGCCTTTACACCTGTCTGAGGACGTGGCGATCTCCGCGAGGGACCAGAGTTTAGGTTTAGGGGCTGAGGGGGGCGAGTGGATAACAGAGGTCACGTTGCTGGTCACCGTACCCGTTGCCAGGCTCAAATCTGACGGCTTGTCTTGTTGCGCAACGATCTGGTTCCCTCGAGGCATCGCCGAGGGAGACGATGTGGTTGGTTTTGCGGAATCCGGCAGCAAGTCTGTAGTCCGCTCCTCCTGGTCTTTTAACTCCGAGTCGCTCAGAAGGGGATCTGTGTCTTTGCCATGGTTCTCCTCTTTAAATCTGTCACAGCCTATGTCCCCTGGGTTCAGCAGTTTATGATCTAAAGCACAAATAAAGAACAGAATTACGACCAAATAAGCGGAACATTCAAACGTAGATAAAACAGTAACATATGTGAGGCGGTGAAATCGGATATATAAAAATAATTAGGCTACTTATGCACGTTTCCCTTAGAAGCACTTATTGTGTGTGCAGTAAATCTCATCAGAAACACGTGTGCCAGCCTAAAAAAGGTGAATGAACTCCTCTCCAAAATGATTACACTAACTGTGCATGTGATATGGTGGCTATTGATTTTAACAAATACATTTCCGGTATTTTATTTCGCAGTGATGATAAGCATTCAGCAACCGTTCAAATCCGTGATATAATTACCATACAAAGGCCATATTTTTTAGCGAGCAGCGGGCGCAGTACACCAGCTGTATCCTTATTATGCAGTTAAAGATAAATTGACTGCTAAACACTTTGCGTCACCAGCAATTTCAGCCCCTAAGAAGTCAAACGAGGGGAGTTCAAGGTGATTATTATTTAAAGCAATTGTCCCATTATAAATAATATACCACCATTAACCAGCAATCAATTTTACACCCTGAATGGAAACGACTGCGATGAAAAATTGATGATTTTTTTTTTTTTTTTTGCCTTTTATTTCCCTGCGCCACCGACCTGATTCTGTGTCTGTTGAGTCTCCCTTGTCTGTGGGTTTGTTTGGCTCGTCGTCGTCATTTTTCTCCAAATCAATATTCTCGTCCTCCTCCTCGTCCTCGCTCCTGTTCCGGGGAGTCCAGGTCATCTTGTTCTCCTTCTTTAGCCTCCTCCTGGCGTTGGCGAACCAAGTGGACACCTGGGTGAGGGTCATTTTGGTGATGATGGCCAGCATGATCTTCTCGCCCTTGGTGGGGTAGGGATTTTTGCGGTGCTCGTTGAGCCAGGCCTTCAGGGTGGCTGTGGCGTCCCTTGTTGCGTTTTTACGGTAAGCTGGGTCACCATAAGGGTAGGTGCCCAAGGGTGCTGCGTAAGGGTGGTATCCTATCGAGCCAGCCATCCCCGTAGTGTGGTCATAGGGAGAGCCCTGGGAAAAAAGGGAAAAAGTGCGTAAAAGTTAATTCACAGTCGTTTTCCAAACTGCTTCAGAATAGTTTAACGGACATAAACATGGACACACACACACACGCGTACACGTGCGTGCATGTGCGCGCACATAGACGCGTGCACACGCTCACACGCACGCACACACACACGCGCACGCACACACACAACAGTTATGGATTTAATGAAGTAGTTCAAGTTTAAAGCAATTTCTATGAACTTTGTTTAAACTTGATTGGCGATATGAAAGGTTTCATTGTTCTTTTAAAATTACTATTTACATAATTACAATATTCAGGGCTATTTTACCTCCCCTTAAAATAGTACAATTTTCAAATATGATCACATATATTAACATGACACACCATTGGCCTATTATTTCACGTTTTGCTTATTTTAATGAGTTACGTCTGTGCAGTAAAAAGGCCTGCATAGACACTCTGTTTAATTAGATTTTGTAGCCATTATTCACTCTCTAAATATACAGGAAAGTGAAAAACAATCCACATTTGTCTTTGTCAGATGCTGCTGTATTTAAGTTTTAAAACTGGTGTAACAATTATCAGAAACAAATCCAACGACCGTAGCTGCCTTCACACGGCTCACTGTTGTGCGCCTATGAGCTTCGGCAAGGCTTTGCCCACACTTTCTTATAAAAACCACAATTTACCAAAGAACCATGTAATAGCACAGCACTCAGTTAAATTAGTTCTGTTTACACAACAACATGTTCACTGGACCTGACATTCTGTAATATATCCGTGCAGTGACGCACATTTCCCTCTTAATGACTTGGCACAGAAAGCACAGCGGGCACTGCTATAACGAGTTAATATCCTCGCTTTTAATTCCTCTTAGATTGAATAATCACCTTGAGTTTACTCACCACGTACGAGGTGAATGTGGCCGCTGCCGCCGCGTCCGCACTGTACGGTAAGTGGGAGTTGTACCCTGGCGAGGCGCTGGTGAACGCAGTAGATCCAGCATAGGGCGCAAAAGCAGATCCTGAAGAGGATCTCCCAAGTTCCTCGGTTCTGGGTCCCGATATGACGCTGGTGCTGTACGCAGGGCATGAATACAGGGCTAGAGAAGCGGACGGCTGGTACAAGTAGCCCTGAGGATACGCCATGCTGAAGCCCGGAGAGTGTGAGCCACTTAACTTGCGCACTTTCCCACCTTTATTTTCTCATGCGCTGCTGCCGGAGCTCATAGAGCCGTGTGTGTGTGCAGACCCGCTGCCTGTCCCCCCTTCTAAGTGTCAGTGCTGAAGGCAAAAAGTAAAAGCGATTAAATAAAGAGAGGGAAGGATGTCGGATGACTTTTTTTGGTTGTTGCCAGCCAGCCACTGCCCGTCGGATGTTTTGTCTCGTTTTGTTTTTCTCTTGCTCCCTTATGTGAGTTGCACCGTCGCTCTCATGCCCGCGCAGAAGTTTTTTTTTTACCCGTCGGACGGGGGCTTTGCTTGGGAAAATGTCCTGCCAAGATGCTAAGTTGAAAAATTGAGGATCCTGACGCCTATACGCTCCTCCTCTCGGGGTGTAGTCACCGAAGGAAAAGGCGAGCTTATGCTGGGTAACCACAGCCCTGCCCAAATCCATGCTCTCTCTCTCTCTCTCTCTCTCTCTCTCTCTCTCTCTCTCTCGCTCTCTCTCTCCCTATGTCCCCTTTCTCTCTCACTCGCTTTCTCTTTCTCCCTCACCCCCTCCCTCTCTCTCGCGTTAACTAACAATCCTCATTCTCTATTTCTCTATTTTTTTCCTCTTTAACAAGCCTCGTTGCAGTAAGTATCAAGTGCGCCTGGCAGCCCCCCTTTGGATGGCGACATCATGCGAGTCTGTCAACTCCCAACTCTTTTTTTTTTTTTTTTTTTTTTTTTTTTTCAAATACGAAGCCGTCACTTTCACACTTGATCAATAACAAATCGGCTGTTGTGCCAGGATATGGGCTTGCAAGATACCGGCAGGAATTAAAAAGGCGCTCCACTGCTGTGCTCTTTTTTTGTTATTGTATCTCTGTGCGTAAAAAAGTCGTCATTTTAAGTATGTGAGATAAATCAACAGAATGACGCTCAGTGATCTCCGTGCGCCTTGTGTTAAAATCCGCAATGGGAGTTTTCAAACGGATTACTACGGTTGTGCACGTCGACTTTCTAACGCCAGACGAGTGTTGCATCGGTAAGATATGACAGCTGGAAAGTGAGTGTAAAATGTCGAAAATCTGCCGATTCACTTCATCAGAATAGTTATACGTAAACAAACTTTTGCTTTTATCAACATTTACATGTTGTGATTGTTGAGCTATGCTTTGTCTGCGCACTCACGTGTGTTTGATCGATTTACTGCGGCGATTGGCTAAATAGTTTTTGCAACAGATCCTGGAATAAAGCAGGCAGATACACACTCCCAGAAAGTCATAAACCCTCAAGCCAGGGCAGATTAGTGCCAACTACACCAAATCCGCCTGGACCACGGGATGTAATCTCATTTGATCGCTGCAGATATGTTTCAGAGCTGAAATATCGGATAGCCTAGATCTATTTAATACGGCACATTATCGCAAATTACGCTTTAATTTTTAATCTGCCAAATCTGTGAAGGAAAATGTATTATTATTGTTATTATTATTTGTAGTTATTATTAATATTATTGACAAATATTCTAATTAAAATATTCTAATTCGTATGTTAATTTAGCGTTTGACTAATGTTTAAAATAATTAAACTAGCATGCCGTTTTGAATATTATTCACTGAGCTTTTATAAATCTCAAAACCATTTTCATTCTGGTGATTGACTTTCCAGTTCAAGTCTCAGATAAGCCGAAAGGGATCGCTGTAGGCGCTGCTAAAGAGTGTATGCACACACTGTCACGTGTTTTTTTACGCTCTGAAAACCTCTAGAGAGCAAAGAGCGATGACGCTGGTACAGTGGGAGCCGACGCACACTTTGGAGGGGAGAGAAAGAGAAAAGAGAGGGGGAATTAAAGAAAGAGGGATGGCTACACAAAGCGACCCTACATTGTAGCCTAATCAGATGACAGTGATACGATGAGAGTCATTTCCACAGCCTTTTGTAGTGTTCAGACAGTCAACTAATTACTGGAACTTTTCTCACAACACCATAGAAGAACCAATTGAATCTGCTGGTACTGACAATTATCCTCCTTACGTATGTCACGCTGAACCTTGAGAAAGGGGCTAATATTGTTGTCTGTCATTCGCAACAAGACTTTAAAAAAGAAAAAAAGAAAAAAAAAGTTTCAAATTTTTTAAAAACACCTCATCTTGTGTGATCTGTTGAAAAATAAAAACATAGTACGGTTTTTTTTTAATGCGTAAAAGAAGATAAGAAAGTTAAAATGGGAGAGAGCCTGCGCTGAAGGCTTTGTGTCATGTGTCCATAATGCGTTTTGGTCCAGAGTGTGTCTCTGAAGTAGGAGGAGGACGCATAATTTGAGATCACGGAGCCTATAATAGGAGTAGGTTACGGCGTCCACCTCTCAACACAGCTCTGATAATGTAAGTATAGTTTTGCTCATGTTATGTAGAAAGATGCAACGTTTGTTTTTGGCGAGTAGAAAGTGTCCAAATCCGGATCTGAATCTGACCCTTAAAAAGCCTCCTTAACTTTGTCGTTTCTTCTTCGTAATGGCTCGTTCTTTTCTTTTACTTTTTTTTATTTTTCTCCATGAGAAAACGAGCTCGTTTTTTTACGCTTGGAAACGGCTTTACGTGGCGAAGAAGAAGAAGAAGTGAATGAAAGATGAAGCACGCCACTTAAAATGCCTGAGGGAGCAAGTGTAATCTAAATTGGATATAGAGGGTATTATTACACAACATTATGCGTTGTGGAGGACTAATTGCGCGGCTGGGCGAGTTAAAGAGTCAGTCAATGTCGAGTGGCGGACAGGTTTCTGGAGCGCACAAGGTCAGCTGGGCTGCTCCCAAGCCTGTCGTGGTATACAGGAGAAAAAAAATGCTTGAAGTATTCATGGGATTTCTAACCATTCTAAATCTGTGTCCTAAACCGATTAGTTGACACCAATTTTTCTTTGATGTATTAGCTGAGGGCTTTTGCCACTTGGAAGCCAATTGAAATTCAAAACAGTTTTCGCTCCAAATGCTTTGGGGAGATCTGCTGCAAATAATGGATGTAATTTATTTTTGACCTTGCATTTTTTTCTTCTCCTTTTTTGAAAAAAGGGTTATTAAATGATTAAACATATTTGCACTATTCTACTTGACTAAACAACTGGCATCCTGTACAGATGTTATTAGATGCTATTTGACTACAAAAGTAATTTTAGCTATTATTTTTCTGCATTTTAAAGGTGACAGGTTTGACATTTGTTGTTAACACAGTTTTGTTTGTATTTTAGTCACTATTACAAAAAAAAAATATTTGTTTTTTTTCTGCCTCAAATGTATTTAATAAATAATAATTGACGCTTTGTCTTTGCTTTGCATTTGTTCAGATCCACAATGAAGGAAAACGCAGTCCTCTTAACAAACTCTTACGCACACACACTGTCGGAGAAACTTTAGCAACAATAAAATTAAAAATGTTTACAATCTGAAGTTTTGACTATTGGACATGCAGATAGGCTCTAATAAAGTGATGAAATTTTATTTGTTTCAAAATACTTAAACAGCCTTTTATTTTATTTTTTTATGAAAGCTGTTATTGCCACACATCTATCACTGTTTGCAATGTTTATGTGATAAAAAGCACAACCACTCTTCACTTGTGCTGATTAACACATTTAGCATCAATTGTCTTTGAAAATCAGACAATTTCCATTTGCCATTAAAGCTTTCAGTATAGAGAATCTATTACCTCATCTTTCTGTTCATGTGATCTCTTTTTTCTTCTATTGACCTGAATGAAGATGTATTGTGTGTGTGTGTGTGTGTGTGTGTGTGTGTGTGTGTGTTCAGTTAACTCCTGATAGGGCCGCCTGCGCTCTCCCTCCATACTCTCCCCATGATCCCCGCCAGGCTGAGTGGCAGGGCTCTGGATGGGCTAAGTGATGAAATGATGACCCTATTATGAGAAGCGATTCCAAAATGAGAGGTATCAGACAAAGATTGCACCCTTCTCTCAGTGCCTCGCCGGCCCCCTGCACCACACTGGCAGCTGTGCAGATGATGATTGATTTGCTCGGGATGGAGCACAGGAAACAACCATTGATTTTTCAGTGTTTTATCAAAAAATACTTATTTACAGTTGTATCCATGCGCTGTATTTAGACTCACCCCATATCCCCTTCTTCTAAACGGGGGGGAGGTGGTATAAAGGGGATAATTCTCCCTGCTCCATGACATGACAAATGGCCTGTAATATTATTTCAGTATTGAGTCAATAGGCTCAGTGACTAAATGAATATTGATTGGATATAATGAAGCCTGAGTGTGACTGTGAGCTCTTAGCTGGAGTCTCCACTGTCAGCATCTTTACACTGATTTCAGACCATTTCCAACTGAGTGTTTGACACACAATACAGACCTGCTTCTACAGCTGGGACGAAATAAACCTCCGGTTAGTGAAAATCACAGATGGTGAATCCACACACTCAACATTCCCTTATTCCTCTCACTGGAGTGTACATGTATGTTTTGATTCATGATCTGAGAGCTTCGATGCCTAACTAGCATGTTTGTTTTGTAGGTGCTATAGGTGCCTGCCATATGGTAATCATCTAAATCCCATTCTACTTAAAGCTCTCGAGGCATGTAGGAGGTACTCCTGCAATGCCTTCATGAAGGTAAAGTGATACAACGAACAAATCAAATGACTAGCAGAATGCTAAAACCACAGTGTGGGAGCTGTGCCCCAGATATTTGCACTGACTTAATCCAATTGAAATAGTATGAGTGAGTTGCAGGGGCTCCCAGGTCTGTTGCTTGCTTATGTATGTGATGCATAATAGAAGTTGACGAGGTTGGTGATAGATCACAGCCCAGGTAATGTAAACACATTAATCCCTCAGGGTTCATGTGCACGTTCTGTCTCTCTTTCTCATTCTATCACAGACTCTCTCTCTCTCTCTCTCTCTCTCCCCACACTCTCTCTCATTGATGACCCCCCCTCCCCCCCCCATGCTCATCATCTTCCCTAAATGCGTTAGTGTAGCACAAACCAGAAGCCGCCTTAATCTGTCAACATGCCCTTTAATTGGAGGGAGAAAACAACACATGCTTCTGGTTGTGCCATTCCTAAGTGCACATGCCAAAGAAACACGGAGTTCATGGAAGAAGTGATCCCGGGAGAGCGGGGCATAATTAAAAGTATCTTTTAATAGGCTTGTAATGCTGAGCCTGACTCTTGTTGCCTTAAGTAGAGGGCAAACTCTGTGGCTGGAGACGGACATGTGAGGGGCTTCTGCTGAGGGAGCCTGTAAGCGATACGTCGCCTGGCCCGTCATCAGACATGCAGTCTCTGCCTCAGTCACCACACTTGGGACAACAACCGCTTCCCCCCACCTCACGGCAGACACCTCGGCTCACCTATTCCCATGTTCTTTTGTTCCTCA